GTCTATGCTACAATTCACCCACCGTGATCCGCGATAATCACTAGCCCGCGCTTGCCTCCCGTTCTTCTTTCTTGCCCAGCGTGTGTTGTAGACATCATACAAGCCCCCGAGTGTATATTGCCTTGCGCATCCCTCCGCCTCCCGCTGACTTGCCCTGTTACATCATTCAACGCCCCAGTTGCCAGCTTGTTCAGTGTAGTCGTTGTTCCATCCCAACCGCCTCTCCATTCCAAGCGTTTTGCAAACTATTCCCTTACTTTCAAGCTTGTTAGACGCCCAATTCTCAGTCTGGCATCTCCCGTGTTTTTTGAGCCAGCCCTGCTCTTGACAACGGATTCCGAAGTGCTGATTGTCTACTTCAGACAAGTTTCTCATTTTCTATGATTCAGTTGTTGCACCATCTGCCTCTTCTGTGTCACGTCTACCGAAAAAGCCAACTGCGACATGTTCAAGTATGATGGTCAACTCAATGTTCAGCGAAATCCCATCTCTCGAGACCGATGCCGGCACACCATTCCGTACTGAAATAGTTGCACAGTGTGGTACAGGGCAAAACCTGCCTTTCGGATAAATTATCGGACACCCCCCTTTCACCACGTGCTGCTACACTTTCATACTACATAGTACTCTCTCTTCCCCTTTCCTTCTGTCATACCATCCCTTCCCCCCACTCCACTGCCGTTTTTATGAATCTTTACGCCTCTCTCATCCAATTTTTATCCCCATCTTCTCCCCTAGTACACAGTGTTTACGTGCCAAATTTCCAGACCTTGCATATTTCGCGTACGCTGCGCATGTCTTCCCTCGGCGTCAAATCCAAAGAGAATCAAGGGCGTCTTTTTCTGCATCAGCCCTCCGCTCAATTCAAGCAGAGAAAAAAAAAACACTCAGTCACCACAAGAAAATGCTCTGTGATTCAAGCAATGAACTCTATCACTGTTCCTCTGGCAGTTGGTACAATGGCCGCTATTCTCACGGCCGCTGAGTACATTTTAAGCACAGCGTCTGCACTCTGTATTCGCGCCGCAATGCACGGTTTCTGGCTAGTTGGCCTACACCGAGGAGGAACAGCGTCTCTTGATACAGGCGAACGATTAAAACGATCTTTCAGAAAAGATATTGCTGGAGCTCTTCTTGGGGTCTGGCTTGTCCTCGGAGTTGCTTTGGTCAAATCAAATT